GTCTTTTATTATTTCAATGGATATTTATCACAGACCACATTTTATCTTAGGGATTTGTGTCTACAGTATTCTACTATTGTCAAAGTTTTACAGTAAGCATGCTTCAAGTTTTCTGCATCAAGTTGTCGTTGTAACTATGTTGATTGCTCTATGACTATTAATGCTCATTTACCACTTTGCCTGTTTAAATAGTAGAAAAATACTAATCATCCTACTTCTAAATGTCTATCTATGATTATTGTCATACCTATAAACTTAATTATATAATTGAGTGTTATTTATTTAACTTTATTTCAATGAAGAAAACTAACAATTTTATATAACATCTGCCCGGTTCTTTCGGTATATGTATATTAAGGAGAATGTGAATACATTACTTACCGACATTGGGGCAAGTGTCACTAGTGCACTCAACCACGGGTTTTTATATTTAAATTACAAACTTTAAGGCCGGTCACCAGAGGAGCAGCAGGAAAAACTGTCTTGCTAGATCAAAGGCTTAGGTATTTACTATTAAATAACGATCTTACAAAAAGTATACAATACACATAAGGATACTGTCTAAAGTATGTGCATATTTGTTACACGATAGGATGTACTGCACCTGATCATATAAAATCCTGAAAATAGACTAATATACAAGTCTAAAACAAATTATTGAAGAATATCTAACTTTGTACTTAATTTTTATATGGAAATATTTCTCTCGTACTACAGAGCACCGTTATGGTTATCAAGTAAATTATTAGTTATTAAATTCACATTTAGCCCAAAATTCGCAAATTGCCGTTTAACAACAAGCTGCGTCGCCCGCTGTCGCCTTCGGGCGCTTGTTGACGTAGGATGTGTCAAATTTTCTCTGCCTGTTCTTATTTTATTCATACTAATTTTAGAGCGCAGTAACTCATCTATTACTTAAACTGAATGGTATTTTGATAGTACATAGAGAGATTTGGTAGAGAAAAAAGTAGATACACCACTAGCGCATTTAGTTCAGTTTATATGTTCAAAGAAGTTTAGTAGAAAGATACAATAAATCTAGTTCATGCCTTATGTACTAGATTTATTGTACTTTTCTACAAAGTAAGGCATAAAAATAATTTTTGGGGGCAGATCTGTGAAAAGATGATGATTTTCGGTGTTATAAAACCAAATAGTTTTTGAGAAAACAATTTTTGAAAATAGTGAAATACTAGAACAAAAAAAAACACATTTTGACACTAGCTACTATAACCCAGCAACATTGACTTATGTAAGACAATGCCCAGCAATGAAGTTTTATGTCTTGCGTTTTGATATTCCAAATTCATGATATCCTTCCCCTGTAGCATGGTTATGCATGATAGTTGTGTCTCAATCAGATCTAATTTAGATAGCCAATAGCGCACACTTATTTCAATTTTATCAGGGGCTGGTGTCCTATAAATTTTAAAAATTTATTTCACTAGTTTTAACATGATATATAATTTTAGAAGCAAGCTACAGCCAGGGGGGTGAACAAGCAATATAAAGCAACATACTCGGCCTGAGAAAAATTCATAAAGTCAGGAGTAGTGTTGGGTTATGGAAAAATTTCCATTTTGAATTTTCTCAGAGAAATAAACATTTTCTGGATATTTTTCCAATATTTTCCTATACTTTTCCGCATTTAACGTTGACACCTGTCACAAGTTGAAGTTACTGAACGAGAACGATGGAGCCATTATAAAGTTATTTTCACTGCAGTCCAATCATTTTAAATTTCATTTTTCTCTAACTTGCTTGTAGCTATTAGATACAATTTTATTTTATTAATCACACTAAATATAACTTCAAAAAATATTTTTGGACGAAGAACGTAATATGGGCCTTTGAATTATATTTCTCCTATATTTGAATATTTTTTGAAATTTTTCAGAGAATTACCCAATATTAGTCAGGAGTGACAGTGTAAGGAACCAAATCAAATGAATGGACGTGTTTTCAAAAGCAGATCAAGCAAAATTGAGATGGACAGGTCATCCGTCCAGTTATGTGGACTCGAAAAATGGAGCACAACAGTCACAAATTGGGACTCATCTAATGGGAAACGCAATAGAAGGTTTCAGCATCAAAGACGAAAAGATGAGCTGAAGCTGACTGCAGGTCTCTATTGGAGAAGAGTAACTGTTAACAGAGATCTTGGGAAAGATCTGGAAGAGGCCTATGCCAAAAGGTACAATGAGTTATGAGAATTAGGATTAAAAGTAAAATTGTTTAAGCTTTTTTTTAATACAGAATATAAACGAATTTATTAATTCAAAAACTATTGTAATGAAAAATTAATAATAAAAATTTTGTAACAATTTTAAAATCTTTTGGCACCATGAGAAGTATTTATTATAACTGCAATTTTATTAAAATCAAATCAAGTATCGTTATTTCGTAAGTAATCAAATTAGACTTAAAATTTGACATTTTATATTTTGCAATACTAAAATAAATGTTTATTTACAAAATAACATTGTTTTATCTCGCAAACATATGGCAGACGATTGATTATGTCAACAAATTTTATCTATATACAACAACTGGAGGACAAAGGGAATTATTTCAATAGTTATGTAGTACTAAATACATAATTTGTTTTCACAAGTACACTTTAATAAGTAAACATGATAATTATTTGTATTATTCTCATCTGAACTGGTTAATAAGTATGTTTTACGCAAATTTTTAGTAAATTTTTTCCTCATTTTAAAATCGCAGGTAGATCCAAAAACAACGGTCACCCAAAAATCGACCTCAGCTACCTGTTAAAAGTTTCAAATGTCTAATTATACATTAAAAACTTTCGTGAAGAGTCACAGAACAAAGAAATTCATGTTTAATATCAATAATTTCGTTTTAATCGCTCAAGGTTGACAAAAAGATGTAAGCACCAAGTAGAATGTCATTTTGTAAGAGCGAAATTCAATGCGTAATAAGCACTTACCTCTTTATAGAAGCTCACCTCAGCAGCACAACACGACTATCCAGGTCTTCAGGATGCAAATCACGTAAACTAATCACGAGAAAGGCGGCTGATAAGCTGAATTTTCAATAACATTGAAAAATGCAAAACCATCGAGCGGAACAACAAGAAAACATCCGAAAGAAAGAGAGAGAGAAAAACCATCGACAATGGAAATCAGCTGTTGAAAATTCGTAGTTCCACTCCAAAAACTCACTCGATTGTCACTTTTATATACAGCGCTGTCATTTTCTGTATTTTTCATTGGGAACTGCAAAATGTGACAGAGATAACCTTACAATCTTGTATTAGTAGTTTGTGCTTACAACTTCTTTTATTTTTTTCCATCCTCTAAGCTTACAACTATGGTTCTACTTCGAATTTCTGTCAAAATCAAATTAAATAGAGGTCATTGTCTATGGCTACCATAGACTAAAATACTTGAATCAGACAAACAAGTTTGCTATATGCGTTTAGCTGTTTGCGCCCTCTAGCAGCAAAATCAGGAATTGTGATATTAAAGCCGTCACAACGTTGTACATTGCAAAGCAGACATGCGCAAAATAGTGCCTCAAAAAGTAATGTAACATAACATTAAATTCCCGTAAAAGTAATATTACACTGTGATAGCACTATTACCAACAACATCACACAGACTAAAAATGAGATGCGATATAAGCATTACCTTGGCATTATCCATCACTACAGTGTTACCAGGATACTAGAATGGAAAATTGCATTTTGTTACCTGGAAAGTTACATTTTTGTTGCTTAAGTAAAATTCGTTTTTTTATCAAACATTTTCTCTGTAAAAGGATTATGTGTATGATTTTTTTTTAATTGGCTGTTTTAATTTTGTTTGCCACTTCTCAGTGTTACTTTATTATCTAACTTGGTGTTATTGTAAACTATTTGGGATTTACAGTAACAAATATGGTTGCATGTAAAAAATCCCATCGGTCTCAAAAGTTACAAAAATCGTTTTAGAAACAAAAACTACTCACATATTACACGAGAGAGTTAAAAGTTACGAAATATTTAAGAAATGTAACTATCTGATTTGCTTGCTTTGCTATTAGCAACATTTGTTGCATATACAATACAGTGTAATATTACCATTATCATCACATTGTATTACAGTAATATTACCATCACATCACTCCTAGAAATATAGATATTACGCAGTGTAAAGGAACTATTACAATTCTAGAATATTGCAAACAAAGCAATACAGATTATACACTATTAAATTTATATAAATTTATATTGTAACTGAAAATAATATCGTGCATCAATTATTATTAAATTATATATTTAAAAGAGGAGGAGGCCTTTGCCTGGCCGGGGACAAAACGGGCTTATAAATAAAAATGTTTAATTTTCCAAAGTGATGTGTGATGTCACATTAGCGTGTCGCGTGAAATGACAATTGTAACATTACTCGCATTATTTACATGTCTCCATTGCAAACATTCTTGATTGTAACAGCACTTTTCTAATGTTGTAGACTAGATAATTGAAATATATGGAGTAGGATACAATTGTGACTGTTAATAATCTATGCACATACGTATATTCCTATGAAATAGTCACTTATTAATGTGTCTACCAATTTTAGGTATTGTCCAAAACTCGTCAAAGTAGTTAATTTGTTTCTCAAAAGATGGTACTGACAGTTACTATGAGTAGACAAAACATTTTGCTCAAAGTTCCGCATTTGTCCACTTTTAATCGTCTGTCTATTATTCACAGACTATTAGATGCTAACGCATCTATTATTTATCTTCTGTCAGTTTATGCTATCTGTGGTGATTGAAAATGGGCACAAGATTTTCGTTATTTTTGTGAATTATTTAGAAATTTGAAATATAAGTGATTGTTTTTGTGTGATCAATATTTCGGTTAAATTTTTTACACCATAATTTATGTATAATCTGGTCTAATTTTAGTATAAGTTTGGTGTATGTTATGAAAACGGTCAGCTGTCCATAACAATAACCTTTTCGTCATTGTGGATAATTACGCGTGATTGGCACTTGTAAAACATAACTGGGATCGTGAATAAAATGGCCAAAGAGGAGGATGATGATAATTTACCAGATAAGGATGCGGCGAAGGAGTTTTACGCTAAATATGAGCCAAAAGAAATCATAGGCAGGTGAGGTGTACAATCGGTACATTTTCGTATATTTGGTATTATATCATTGGCATCGCACTATATTTCTTAGCTTCTTGCCAATTTTTAATGAGGCGCGAAAATTTTCGTTCTGACGCACTAGGTAAAAATTGTATTACACTTTTTTTCCACGACCTTGAGGAAGACATCGGAACCAATTTGGCAAATATAATTACTGTCTGTATAAAAAAAAGGTTGGAGCGTGTTCCTTTTTATGAGGAAAAATGAAAATATTGCTTATTCTTACAAAAAGCATTTAGATTAGATTTAACATTGAATCTTAATATATACTTTATTATTTGTATATTATGAAAAGCATTTGGGTTATATCAGTATTTGTTTAATATTAGTAATATATATGTACAATGTATTTATATATATTTGTAATGTGCTATGTTGTTCAAGCCAGGAAAATCCTTCAGTTCTTTAATTCTGATGGTTTTGACTCATTCTAATTAGTGGTATAATCAGAATATACCAATTGCTGGTTAACCGATGAAGGGCTTTACAAAGCCTAAATATGACACCCTATAAATAGTAAGAATGTTCTAGATCAAAATATTGATTGATTAAAAAAAAGCTAAGTCTTTTGTCGTAAAGTAAATGCACATGTGAATTAAATCATGAGAATGAACAATCTCGGCCATTGAAAGACTTTTGATTGCAAAAATATATAAATCTTCTTTGAACACTGTTATTTGTAAAATAGTAACAACCTTGTACAACTACATTACTATCATTTTATACGAGAAATTTTGTTCCATGACTTAATAATTCATCAAACTTTACTTTCATACAAAAATAAAAATATTTAAATATATATTATGGTATACCTCTGTGCAGTAGTAAACAACTATGTGTTGTAAAAAGTTATGGAACAAAAGTTGTTGCTTATGATATTGGTAACAATAAAATCCTGCAAGGTTTTTACTATTTTAGAAATAAGGCTGTAAATTTCCCCACTACTTATGTAACAACTAATTAAAACGCTCTCTATCAGTAGCACTTGTCTGATGTACTAATATCTGTATTAATAAATCCGTTTGAATTGCTGGAGCAATATTAAGATCTTATTGAAGTCAACTGCCTTCATCAATAATTACTCATTGAATATGCAATGAAATACAATAAATGTTATTCGTATATTGTGTTTTCCGAAACTCTAAAATTTGGCTATTCAAATCTGTAGTAAATAAAACAGGCATGCTTTAGACCAAAGGTGGGCAAACTTTTTTTATTAGAGGCCATAAAACAAGAATTTTCACGTGTTCACATTCAAAGCGTAGATGAGGCTGGGAATAATATTTCCAAGGGCCATAGACTCATATTTAGAAATGGATATTGGCGGGCCGTATTAAAACTCTTTACAGACTGAAATTGCCTGGCAGACTGTACTTTGCCCAATACTGATTTAGACAAATATGTACCATCATTGGTTACATTGTCATTTAAAATCACGTCAAATTCGCCTAATGTGCGTCTCTTATACATGAAAAAATAATCTAGAATATGGTCTTGATCCTTTGAGATCATATCATGCAAGATGCCAATGATTTTAGTTTTTACAGATGAGCTTGAGATGCAAATCAAATTCTGAGTTGAGTAGCGTATTTACACTTGGATATGTGCTGGATGTGGATGATGATCTTAATTAAAGAGAAAAAGATATACACAGGGTGCAAAAACATTCTATTAGCCTAAGATCTGTTCAGCCGAGTCTGTATTAAAGTTACTGTTTACAATTATTATAAAATTCATTATCATTTGTCATTGTAATTGATAGAACATTAATACATATTATTTTACTTAGTTAATTGAATATTATCTAGAGTCCATAATATATTAGTACATTTATTGTGTAGTTAATTGAAATTAGGTTTTGTGCCTACATAGTAGGATTGTGAAAATATTGCCTCACTTATTTGCATTGTCAGTTCTGTTAAAGCTTTCAAAAGTGCATGGAAAAAAAAGATTTCTTTTTTCTCTACAGAGGTATAAGCTCCACGGTTCGAAGATGTATAGAAAAGGAGACCGGTCACGAATATGCGGCCAAGATCATAGATCTCAGTCAGGAGTCACATGATGGAGTAGACACGCATACAATGCGTGATGCTACTAGACAAGAGATTCACATTCTTCGTATGGTGGCCGGACACCCTTATATTAGTGAGTGAGTCCTTATTATTTACACTATACAGTACATATTTATTATTTCTGCAGGGCTAAAAATGCCACATTGGCATAATGATAATATGATTAATTGACAATTCATCTTATTAATTTTCAAACAAAACAAAATACGCAATTTATCTATTTGACAGTGTTTATGAAGACCTCCATTGAACACTGTCAAATAGTGAGTTGCACTATGTGAATTGTAAGTAATTGATAATATGAATTGTCAATTAATCATATTATTATGATTCAGCCAATATGGCCTTTTTAGCCCTGCTATGCTGTTCATTGTTGGAATAGCATTGTTAGTGAACTGGAACCGGTAAAGTTTTTTTATTTACGAAATCCTCATAGCAGTCTAAGGAGCACAACAAAAAGGAGAAGGCTAGCACAACTGGGCGCGACTTGCACAAGAACGTCATAAAGCGCGAGATATTGCTCCAATACTATGCAAGAGCATAGAGTATCTCGCGCTTTGTGTCACTCCAGGGCATGTCGCGCCCTGTCGTGCTAGCTTTATTGGTATTCTGCCAGTTTGGTCATCGTCTGTCAATGCCACTCTCCTATGTTTTGTCTGCAAGGTAGGTGCTATGTTTTGGAAATGGCCTGCTCAACCAATGTCAAAATGCCACTGTTAATTTATGTTATGTATACCTGTGTTAGATAAATGTTTATATTGGCAAAGTATTATAAATCAAGTTTGGTAACGCCATACAAACGTAGTAGCGCAGCTTATATGCGTGCGCACCCTCCCGTTTGCCATGTACAGATGCACACATTCGCATAATCTCGCGATACATAGCGTTTTCTATGGAGTTGCCATACTTGTCTTATGGTACTATGCAATTGGAGACTGCTTGCCAGTGTTGCCAGAAATTCCGATGTCAAGCCTAAAGTCGCAGTTAAAAATCGCGCTTTTAATCTTGGTATTGCGAATTCACAAAAATGATGATGGTATTATGCAGAAGATTTCTTACCAATAAAACTGTTGGTATATTTTTTAATTTTATTATAATGTTTCGTGAGTTCTATATGAGCTTGCTAAGACAATGAAACACGTGCAGAATTAATTAATCGTATTGTAATATTTAGTCCTTAGTTACACATTTGTGACATCTGCTACGTACTGTAGCACGTGTATTTTGTTGCCGGGTCCATTGACACTTAAGGTCGTAACACTTTCTGAGGGATGAATAATGATGATGTATTCCGTAACAATACAGCCTTAAATATATTATAATGTTTTGTACTATTTATTTAGCTTCATTTCTAATGAGGTTATGCTATATTTACCATTTGTGTAAATTTTATTTTTAGTCATTATGGATTGTAGTCATAATATGCACATTTTTTATTACAATACCTAAAATCATATTATGATTTTTTACGGAAACTTTTTTTTTTGTTTTTTTTTTGTCGCGTAGTGTCGGAATGGAGCAAATTATCAGACGTTGATAAATGCGCCATCTGTGAACGTCTCGAATATGGACTTTATTTTCTTATAATGGCGACAGCCTTTTTTAAATAATATCAAGAGACGGGACGAACAAGTCGTGCGCATGGTGGTAAGCTTTAAATTGCAGATCTCTGAGGAGCACTGCCAGTGCGCTCGTCACCCTGAGACATAAGTTGACAAATCCCCATGTGCCCGTAATTTCAAATCCGAAACGCAGTAAGACTCACTAAAATCTCAATTAAAAAAAAAAGAAAACAAAAAGAAAAGTTTCACTTTGAAATCTGACACCATACAGGTTAAATCCCTGTAATTTATAATTTATTCTGTTGCTACGATTTTTTTCTTAAAATCTAATTTAGGCAAATAAATTGGAGACAAAAAGCAGAGGCTCAGCTTATGCTGGATAGCCATAAGACCGTGCAGCGCTATTTTTCAGCCTCTCCCTAATCCCTATGGTCTTGAGTGGGAGTCATGTCACCCATAACACTTGTTGTGCCACTCAGAGCTTTAAATCACAAAGACCTGAGGACTGGCAGGAGGCACTGGCAGTGCAGCTACTGAACCCGTCATTGTGCAACATAAAGTTGACAAATCCCATGTGCCTGCCTGTGTTTTCACCAACACGTCTATCTTTCAAAATCGAATACAGTAATGCTCACATTATTGCTTGGCAGCACTTCCTTGGACAAACTCTTTCACGAGGACAACTTCAAAAGGAAACCAAACAGGCATGTGTAATATTATATCTACTATATAACACTAACCTAATATTAGTTCTGTGATATACACACATCAAGTCTAGCTATTTAAATATATTGAGATATGACAAGAAATAATATAACAGATTGAAATTATTTTCTGGGTTTCCCTAGTGCGGGGTTATATGATAGGAATGTGTGCATTATTTTTAATATATGGTGCTAATAGATGGCGTTGTCGTCGAGTTGAAACACGCAACCGTTTGTCAACTAGGTATTTTATATAGCATATGACAATTTCAGTGGGCCAACCGTTTACATTGTTGAATCTAGATGTTTTCAACTAAGTTCTCTTCCAGCTGAGAAAAAAAGAAAAAAGAGAAGTTTTCAACTAAGTTATCTTCCAGCAGAACTTAGTTGAAAACATCTAAATTCTACTTCTAAAATTGTCAAACATTTCCTTCCCGCCATAGTAGTAAACTTTCCGTCCTTTGGGACAGGAAGGCGTCTAATGAGCCATACTGCCATATCCCACTTTTTAATTTTTCGTCAATCATTTCATCTGACCTTTTTTTTGCGGGAAATCGTTACGGTGGCCGTTTTGAAACTCCATCCCGCTCCACAACTATTAGTAATGAACAAAAGGCTTTTAACGTAAACTTTTAATACATAAGAGAGCAGGACGCTTCAAGTACCTACTGGTAAGCACGAAACACAATTATTTTTTTTACTTCCAACATGAATTACATACAGGAAATGAAACATTTTTTTCGGATCTAAATCGCGTATATTTGCTTTTTTAAACAAACCAACGTTTTGGGCCTTTTTCATGTCTAATGGTCTTATCTGACTGTTGGATGTTAGCCGTGACTACGCACGGTGCGCCTTTCGTGTTCTAAATTTGAAAAGACAGACTTGCACTAATGCCAATTTTTTTAATGGCTCTGGCTTCCTAAGTGGGCTCAATGCGGATTAGGAACTCCCATAAATCTTCAAAGAGTATCTATGTGTTATTCGTCTTCGATATGAAGTGGAGATCTGAGCGGCATTGGAACTGCTATGGACGGTCGTGTCGTTTGCCACCAAGCCCACGACTTGTTCGTCCCGTCACTTGGTTTCATTAAAAAAATTAGCCATTTACAACAATTAATTTCGAAATGCTCTATATCCAAGCTGGTCCTTCATCATGTTACCGTAATATATTCCCATTCGGGTGTCACCGCTGTTAACGTAACGACCAACAACACTAATAAAGACAAAAGGTTATATATAATAATATGGCAGCGAAGGTAGACTCGAACGAACGTCTTCTTTCGAATTGCTGATAACACGGTGCGTACGAACACAACCAGCTATGTTATCAGTATAAACAGATCCTGCTCAGGCTGCTACTATTCGGACTGCATAGGCGAAGTCGATATGTTCAACTGCATGCAGTTGACACTGCGTCCAAGTAGTTAAAGTCGCGCCTATTTCCAACGCTTTCAGTTGAACTCTCGACTACACGCAGTCAAAGTCTCGACTGCATGCAGTTGATCACGACTGCACGCATTAATAATATATAATTTATCATTCATTTTCCATTTTCAAATTGTGTTTTCTCAATTCTACAATTTTAAGTGTGCAGTCCATCATTTTTCATTAATTTTTTATTTTCATATTGTGTTTCCACAATTCCACAATTTTGAGTTACGACAGTATTTGGTTACTTGTGCGAATATACATATGTATTAACGATGCACTGACGGTTTCTCCGCACACCAATAAAAGTTAGCGCCAGTATTAAACTCTGTAAGTGAAATGTGTAGAAACGTGTTAAATAGTAATTTTTACTACAGAACGTTTTAGTGATTAATGAGGCTTTTAATCAGGCATTAAAATCAGTCTTAAAGACAAATAAAACACGTTAAATAAAAAACCAACTTACTTAATACACTTTATAAACATTGAATGTTTTTCAAATCATTCACATTCCAAATATGGACTTAAGGTTCTTTACCTCTCACCTACAGAAATTAGTAAGAAGTCTTATCGTAATTGAACTGGCTCGTTAACCTTATAATATGGAAGACCTCCAAGATTAGCCTAAGCAAAACAAAAGATATGCCTTCCTGTCCTAAACTGTCAGTTTGTTCATAATGACGTCACGCGAGTTATCTCTTAGGCTCAACTTACACTGGCGCAGAGTCGAAGCGTCGCAACGCATCATGTTTTCGCCTATAGCATATTCATCTCTATTTTCCCAATATTAAAGTACAAATTTGTGTTATGCAAATCTGGAGAGCGTCGCGTTGAGCGCGAAGAGGCGTCAGACGCCGAACACACTGTCGCCAGGCATTGTAGTTGAAAAACAGGACGCTACGCGACACTTCGAATCTGCGCCAGTGTGAGTAGAACCTTAATAGCCACGAGCATGACCGTCGCGCACACTAATGCTTCTTAGTCGATAAATATACACTCATTTAACCAAGCACAAAGAAAATGAGAATATAAAATACTAACGTTTATATTTAAATAAATAAGAATTAGACGTGAAGTAGCATTTATATTAACTTCTAATATCGAGATAGTACAACCTTATTTAAACTTCATTGGACGGAATCGAAAATAAACTGCTTTTTTTTTAGATTAGAAACGGCTGAAAATTTAAATACTGTATCTTACAGTTTGACATTGATTAAATGAAACTTTTATAAATAAAAAAACTTTTCAGCTAAAGCTACCGATGTTTTCAACAACGCAAAATTAACCTCGAACTACTAGTAGGAAATTAAAACAAATGATTGTAAAAATTGCAAACGACGAATGTTTTAATTTCAAATTAGACATGAAAAGAAGTAAAATAACCTGTCAAGCTTAAAATTCATTCTTACTAACGCGTAACGAATTGGCTTGTGCCGGTCAGAAAAAGCGTGATATCTATGATGCAATAAGACCGAAAAAGTCTATTAAAACTCTAAATTCTTAATTATCTTTCAAATCATGAGAAAGGCGAAAATCTAAAATAGATCCAGTAAGAAGGATTCAATGCACATCCAGTCACTTTCGAGATACGGCAGTTTGAAGTTTAAAAGTGTTTCTCACTTTTGTTTTATTTTCAAGACTTATAATGTCATGTAACTCCAGAGATATTTATTTATGTTTATATGTTGGATATTTTTTTTTGATAATTTTGTGGATTGGATCGTTTTTGCTTAACTATGTCCAATTGAAATAGCGATACGAAACACTAAACAATATTGCTCGAGGATAATTTTATTATGTTGTGTAAAGACTGGTGGCCTGACGCATTTTCATGCATTTCCGTGCATCAGGCTCCTACAAAATTAAACTACTGAAAACGTCGTGTTTGTTCATACTGTTCCTAGTTGTAATATGGTTTTGTGGAGAAAAATAAAGCTTTATTTATTATTTATTTCGGACAACAATAAGCCATATCTAATTCATTAGTAATAAACATATAAACTATGTTAGATGTAGTTTCATTATTTGTCTGCCCAATTAGAGTGTACCACATGCAATGATTTTTACACGTTCAAACGTTTGCGTATGATCGATATTCGATGATCGTGATACGGTACGGTGTTACACAAAGTTCTATACAAAGTACGATATGAGTTGTCTTAGGGAATCACCACATTTTTAAGCTTGAGCCGATCAGAAAATGATTTTTGTCTAAGCTTTTTTTTGACCAGCTTAATGCGATTCCGTTTTGAAAAGTACAGTGACACCCTTAGGCTCAATTTATATTACGGCGGTACGGAATGAAAGCGAATTTTTGTAACGATATTCTACATAGGCGCAGTCGTGAGCAAGCTTGCGAGTGTTCGAGCATTCACGCAAATGCTTGACCATTACAGCGCCCGCACGCGCTTTCTCGCGCAGCGAAGTGAAACTGACGCTTCCGTTCCATTCCGTTCCGCCGTAACGTAAATTGATCCTTGCGCGTTCAATGTGCATTCTCCTTGGTACACACGCCCATTTTTTTACGATTACAAAGAAGTTTAGATGATTGCGACAATGTAAACAATAAGCATTTGACGTTTTATATGTCAATGATAAGAACATTAAATTATTATGGACTTCGGACTTCAATCTAAATATACGTTTTCTGCGAATAGATATCAATCATATCAATTTAGGAGAACGGTGCAGATTCTCTTTGAAGAGAGTAACTGTATCTGTAACGAGAAACAGACTAACGAAAAGACCTCCAGCAAACCCAGACCAGAACCTGTTTAGGAAAGTTCGTTTTTCGCTGTATTCTAATTCAAACTCCGGGAGGACCTCATTTAGCGCCCATGGAGCGGTGTACTCTAGGCATACTAAAGACCTGTACCCACAGTAAAGCACGGATAGCTTAACATGGCTGAATGTAGCTGGAAATAGGATTCGAGAGAGTTTATTAGCTAAAACGGGGATTGGATTCGGCTGATGGGGCTGCCGCGTTACTGTACTGCGTCGGGGATGTTTGCGAAGGCGCGCTCGGATGACTTTGATGCCGTCATGCGCAAGCGTGTCATATCCTTGATGTTGCGCATACGCGGCGACGTCGACAGTCTTCTGAGTGCAGTAGCTGAAACTTACAACAGCCCGATATTCAGGCACGGGTTCAAGTTACACGAGTCGCAGTCTAAATATGAGAAAGTAAAATTTGTCGATTCTTCCCGGTTTCTCATATTTGTCAATTGTTATATGTAAAGTTAGTAACATAGCTCATAAGACTGGTGCTCCAAATTCTGAAATAAATGCATTATTATTATTAAGAAAGAGAAAGACTGATTTCCTTCTATGAGAAAAAGAACATTGTTGTTAAAAGACTTGAGTAGCAGTAGAGCTCCTGTGAAAGAGTTCGTCCAGGTACTGCCACTTGCCTATTTGTTCCGCCAAGCAATAATGTGAGCATTTTTGCGTATCGGTTTTGAAGGATAAAGGTGCTGGTGAAATTACAGGCACATGGACATTTTCGACTTGTCTCAGGGTGACGGTCGCAGTGGCAATGCCCTTCAGATCAAAAAGAAAAAGACTCCAGTGTCACCTTTGCGGTGTTCATAAATTATGTTCATTAGTTGACACAGTCAACAGTCTATCTCAATCCAGTTTAATCTTTTTACAGTTGAACTCCAAGACGTGTTCGAATCCGAAACGTTCATCTTCTTAGTCTTCGAGTTATGCAAGAATGGAGAGCTGTTCGACTATCTCACATCAGTCGTTACATTGTCGGAGAAGAAAACTAGATACATTATGAGGTAATTATTTAATATTACAGTGCCATCTGTTGTGTTGTTTCCTGCTTCGTATTTAGATCAGCCGGCTAACCTCGTAAAACAAAAGACTGTCCCAACGGTTTTATTTCGAAAGTTGAATGACGTTTCTTAACAACGTAGTTCAGCCTAGTGCCAATAGATGACACTCAAACGATTTGTCGAGTGTTATGTTCGTAATATAGGGTAACAAGAATTCTAGCGAGCACACTGTATTATGCGAGAACGAAAATTGGGAATGAAACAAAATTTTTCGTTATTCAATCAAGCTTTTTTGCATGCTTTTTATGTAAACGTGACGAGATGCAATGACGTCGAATTGCGAGCTTGTACACATTCAAACACATGCGTGTTGTGCCAATAAATGTTTACGTGTGTTGTTCAAATCAACTTTTGATAATTTTTGGTATACTCGATGAAGTCATTAACATAGTCCTAAAGTTGTTTAAAAAACAAAATCGTACGCGGTGTGGGCATAGCATTAATTTTCCTAGAAGCGTTTATCTAATACGATTTGAATAACATCTAGGGCAATATTACAATAATATTTTGGCTTAATTCATAGACAATCTATGTAAATTACTTCTACATTTATCTCTTAACGTTATTTACTTTTCCTCTTTTTATTTAGTTCATAAAAATACATATAAAACGGTTTATCGACCTAAGAAATAACGACTTTTCTCATACGAACTTACACCTCATACGTCACTCTTTAAGCATAATTTTCAAAAAGCGACCGAAACATTTTTTAACCAACCTAAAAAAAGAGTTATCAATTCCGCTGTATTTCTTTCTTTGTATATATGTAGGTATGTTACGCGATATCTCCGGCATTTGTTAACCAATTTTGTTGATTTATTTTTTGTTGGAAAGAGGATACCTCAGTAGTGGTGCCCTTTATTATCATTTATATTAATATTAAATTTGAAGAAAATATTCCACCTCTAAGGGTGGTAAACTAGGGGTGAATGACTATTGTAGTCGGTTTTTCTATTATACGAGTACTTACAGAGAGTCTAAATCCAAATTTCGACGTCGCCGTCGTCGTTTATTTTAGTAATTAAGAATTTACTGACTCCGTGGCCGAACGGTTACCACACTGGTCACATTTATTACCGTACCACGCATAGGGTCCCGGTTCGATTCCCGGCCCGAAAGATATATTAATTAATTTATTTATTTCCTACATTTATTTCTCTCGTGAGTTTGGGTGTAATTTGTGATTATCTATGTGTGTGTCCATGGCATCCGTGTGTGCGTGATTATTATTATTTCCATACAGGAATTCTAATGTCTTTTGATCGCTCTAGAGATGATGAATTTCGGAAAATATATTTTATTATTAAGTAACCTAAGGAACCTGTAGTCCAAATTTCATATTTCTATTATTTTAGTAGTTTTATTTATATGTGCGTTAATACGTCACTTGAGACTTGTTCTTTTATATTATTATTATATCATCGGTCTTCAAAAGAAAAAAGGGCGAAAGCGCCATTTTGAAAAATAATTAGGGGAGCATGTTCTAGGTTTTAACGACTTTAACATATTTACGTGCGGTTTTATAATTAAATGTTAATTAAGTTGAAGTTTTAAAATTCTATTTGTAATTTACCAAAGTCACTAATAATTAACAACTCGCAATGAAGATATTTTTTAATTTTAACCAATATTTTGTTCCAAGGTTAATTGTCTGATTTTTTCCTGAAGTTACATAAACCCCATTACGCAATAGGTCATCATCACGATCTGGTTTTAATTTAAATTGGTTTTAATTTTATTTGTAGAAGTTACATAATATTTTGAACCGATGAACTCACTCGATAATATATATTTATGGAAATGGTGCACATATAGTCCTTGACAGCTCAAAACTTAAATAAAAACGCACCTATTGCCCTGTTTTTAATGCGGAATATCATTTCGAAGATAATGCCTTCTACATCACATATAATAATGTATACTTTGATATTTATACGCGTATAATGCAGTAGAAGCGTAAATACGACTTGTGTGTTTTAAGAGATAACACAGTCGCGATTTGGCTCTTGTACAATTATGCGCTCCTAGTACTTTTCTGGTACTTTGTGTTGTTTAAATTAATTGTTTTAATTGTTTGAATAAACTGTTTGTGATAGCGATATTATTTAATAGTAATACAGTTGTGTTTATTGTAGAAATTCAAAATAATACTTTAATAAAAACAAAGAATGATGGCCCTTGTGTTGCCAAAAGTGCCCTTAGGAAAGTGTACCGAAAATAGGTTAGTTGCTATTATATTATATTAATATAATTGTGTTTTGAATTGGTACAGTGAATACGATTTGAATATATCAAGCTTAATAATGGCGCATATTCGAACGAATATTTCGAGCTTCTAGAAATAATTATTTAAAATTAATTTATGATAGCATTTATTTACATCTCCATATATTATGATGAAATGACAATTAAAGATCACCCATATAATGTAATCAAACAACACTGTAGTGATTTTTTTATTTAATTGGTTTAAATACATAAGTAACTAAAGTCTTGGCTAGAAATGTTCGATGGCCTTTAACTTTGTTCACATTTTAGATCATCGAAATGTTGAGTACGTTCCGTTAATTAGTGAAGTTGACACAAAAAGTTATTTAATGTGGTGTATTATTTTTGTTATAAAGACGACGGTGTTTGGAATTTTTAATTCCTTTAAAATTATATCGTCCAATAACGCACTAATTGTCTGGTATCATATTAGATAATTCCCTGCACGATGAAAAGTTTGCTTACCGGCTTTTTTTTTGGAATTAAATGTTTGCCAAGTTTTATTGCAATCGGTTAACGGAAAATGGGTCAAACCGGATTCATCTCCTAGTATGAAATGTTTTCTTCAAATTTGACTAGACCCTATACTGAGGTACCCTCTTACCAACGGAAAAAGAATCGTTAAAATCAGTTCATAACTCTCGTAAAATACACAAAAAAGTACAGTCGAACTGTGAACCCCTCCTTTTTTTAAAGGCGGTTAAAAAGAAATTGCGAAATAAACTTACGAAGTTTTTTTAAAATTTAATATTAAAAGTAATAAATTGTAAAATTTGTATATCATGTGTTTTATTACACATAAAAACTATGACCAATTTCTAGAATAAACGACCTGTTTAATATACACCTTATTGACCTGCGTAATATTGGCCAAATCTATATCGGCTCAATATTGTGACGTGATAATGTTAACCAATGAAAAGCTCGGTGTCTTATTCACAAAAAAAAAAAATTGCATATTCAGAGTACAGATATTCGTCAAGAAAAGATGTACATTATTTTGATCTAGGTCATTATTATTGAAAGGCAGCGATAGGTAGTAAACAAGAAACAGAATTATTTAATCGGTTCTTTTTTCAGGCAAGTCCTAGAAGGCGTCCGGTTCATCCACAGCAAGAATATTGTCCATCGAGATCTAAAGCCGGAGAATATTCTCTTGGATGATCAGCTGAATGTGAAGATCACGGATTTCGGGTTCGCCAAGGTGCTTAAACAGGGGGAGAAATTATTCGGTGAGTTTGGTTTTTGTTCTACATACGATGCATCGCTGATGTGTTTAAATATAGGAAGATAATGGAAGAATGGCATAAGTGGAGTTACGTCAAACATGTTTATTGCTCCATTAGACACAGAAAAATATAACCCACACCCTCTCCAATCCTTGTAACTCTATCTACATTAGTCGATCACGCCCCGTGATTTGTTTATTTATTTTATTGTTCGGTGAATAGGGTTTTTGTTCTACGTATTGGTTGTTGGGTGCGGTTCATTCGATATAACATGAAATTATATTTTTGGTCGAAATAACTCTCAATGGATTGTATTAGGCAACGTCACATGGGTTGCTCTGATCGCAAAGTAAGTAACTAATGCACTTGTGTTATGGAAACAACGACACGCGCGACGGCACCACAAACATCCAGACTCCTTTACGATTAATGCCTCACTATTATAGAACGAACTCCCCTCTAAAATACGACATTCGAAATCGCTACCTATTTTTAAAACTGGATTGCGAAATTATTTTCAGACACGGCCCTAGTCTGCAACATGGTGTAAAGATATTTATTAGTACGTATAAGTTTATTTATGAATATTTAAATATATGTATAATGTAGGTGTAGTATATTGTTATTTATTATTTAATAATAATATAATGTTGGTTCTTATTTATTACCATTGGCGCACTATGTCTCCCGCTCTGATTACCTTTCCTCTGCCTCAAAGGTTGTCCGGAAGAGATCGCTCTTAGAGATAAGGCCAACTTTGCCCACATTAGCTCTTAAGTTGTTTTTGTACTGTTTATGTACAATAAAGTGTTTATCTATCTATCTATCTATCTATCTACTTGCTGCCGTCTGTACATCAAAATGTACATCATATGTGACGTAATTAGACAGAGAATAATATACCTATGATCAGTAAACGCCCAGTGTACATTGAAATTTACCGCTATATTGTATTCTATATGACCATATATATATATATTCTATATCCAGAAATATTCATTTTTCATACAAAACTGAAGGCGTACTTGCTTAAGTTTGCTCTAGCTTTAGTACGTTTTTAATATACATTGGGTGTTTATTGCTTTTCCCGTTGTTGTTTACCGAGTCTTAAGAGATTATGGACACACTGTCCGAGATATAATATATCTTTACTCTGTCGGAATAGGATATTCTTGACGTGGTCAGTCACGCTGCCATGAACATTTTATTGTATAAAATTACATCCAGTTCCAAAACAATTGCCTTTATCTACATCGCCTTTGTCGTCAAGTCGTAATTTACGAAAGTGCCGTTGATACATTATGATTTAAGAGACGTTTCTACCGAGTTGTTAGGTTTTTGCAGTTGCTATGCTTTAGAAATAAAGATATTAGAGCGCCTTGTGAAAGTGTTCGTCCAGAGAACTACTGCCACCTTAACTGTTTCTGCCGCCAAGCAGTAATATCAGCATTGCTGTGCTCCGGTTTTTGAAGGGAAGCTGGAAGGAAGGGAGGGGGGTGCTAGTGGAATTACAGGCACACGTGGGATTAGTCAACTTATGTCTAAGAGTGGCAGGCGCGGTGGCAGTGCCCCTTATCTTTGCGATTTAAAGCTCTGAGTGGCACTGAAACTGCTATGGACAGGCGTGTCGCTTACCACCATGCGCAGGACTTGTTCATTCCGTCACTTGTTATCATGAAACCATTTTTTCGGATCAAAAATTGCAAGTTCACAACGTTTGGAAAGCGTGTAGCAGAGCTGTAAATCCTTTTCTTAGGGAAGACCCATGTTCAGAAATGTAACTTGTAACAGGTTGACGTTGATAGTGATTAAAAATATAAAATGTGATTAGCAATAGAGCTCCTTGTGAAAGAGTTCGTCCAGGTTACTATTGCAACCTTATCTATTTTTGCCGCGAAGCAGTAATACCAGCATTACTGTGTTCAGGTTTTGAAGGGTAAAGGGTGCTTGTGAAATTACAGGCACATGGGGCAGTGCCCCTCAGATCTTTGCATTTAAAGCTCTAAGTAGTACTGCAACTGTTATGGACAGGCGTGTAGCTTACCATCAGGCGCACGACTTGTTCGTCCCGTCACTTGACATTTAAAAAAAACAACGTTAATTGTATTTGTTTACAGAACTATGCGGCACTCCAGGCTACTTAGCTCCAGAGACCTTAAAAGCAAATATGTTCGAAGACGCGCCTGGATACGGCATGGAAGTTGATATGTGAGTATATAACATTTTACTAGCTATTATATGTATATACTTTGGGGCCAACCATCTAACGTGGTGACATTTATGACGTATACATAACATAACACATTACAATCTCAGATCAAATAGAAATAGTGTATTCCAATCTCCATAAAGTCAATAAAGTGGGTCCGTTATGCCCCCGATTTTAATAAATTTATATTTATATTTAATAATAGTATTTGTTAACCGATTTTGATGATTCTTTTTTTGTTGGGAAGAAGGTACCTCCAAAGTGATCCCATTTCATTTTGAAGAAAATCATCCACCTCTAAGGGTGGCTGATCACGCATGAACATTCATTTTTATAAGTAGCGCCTAAATTTTACTTAAGCAGTAATTATTTTAATGGTTGGTTTTGCTATTCTCCAATTCAAGGCGTTTTTCTCTCTCGATATACTTTGAGTAGTGAGAACCGATTTTTATTATCTCCTGTGTCTAGTCCTGTATAGTGGCGAACTAGGGGATATTTCTATAAAACTTGGCAAATAGAAAATTCCACGTTCTTTTGAGGTCGGTTTTTTTAGTACTCTGTACTGAGATTATATTATAATTTAGTCGAGTATTATTTATTTGACAGTAATTCTTTCGGATGTATGTCGAACGGAGAATGGGAGTAGGCCCCCTGAGTTATGTCACAGACAGACATACAGATGTACACAGACAAAGTCGTCAACTTTAAACTCTCTTTTTTGCATTGAGGGATAAAACCCTCGTGAATAACGGTTACGTATGCGAAGTCTCATATGAAGATATAAGTCCAATATCGGTTCGACTATTTGTGCATTTTAGTTTAGATCTCCAGTGATAATTACTGACGCACATCCAAGCGGCATTATGACTTTTATCAGTTGAGCGCGTGTGACACATGAACTTGATATAAATAGATTTGTGAACGTTGATTCACGAGACACTTTTGGGTCAATCAACTATTTTACTGACACTCGTCTGTCCCTAAACTTATAAATTTATCTTAAAATTCATAGGCGAACTCTTTCACAAGGACCTTTACTGCTACTAAATATCATATTACTTTATTACTCAATGCTAGTGCCAGTAATTCACAGTGACTTTTTCTCTCTACGAGTAAAATCGAAGGCTGTGCCACACATAGTCGATTATAAGCGAGTCGACAAGCTGAAAATTACCGTGTGTAGCAACCATCAATCAGCAAAATAGTCTGTTATATCTGCATTGCGATACAAGGGGCTTTCTGATGTGGTTAATACCCCTACTATGGAAATATTTTGAACATTTTTAAAAAATTTCACTTTGTCCATAGTCTAAAACGAACTTTTAAAAATGAGCATTTATCCCATTTTCATCGAATAGTCGGCAGACTATCGCACGAAAGTCAAAAACCAACATAAATCATTTAATTCAATACGTCGATCGACTAAAGCATAGTTTCCCAAAGTTGTCCCTACCAAGTGGCCGTATAAGAGTATAAGAGTCCTAGGGGGGGCCTCGAAAGCTATTGGGGGGCGTTAATGCTGTCCAAGGGGTGCTACCGCATTAAAAATACCGGAATTATCTATATAAACCACACTACAATTTTTTTCCTTGTAATTGTTTATGTTAAGTTAATATAAAAAAACGTTCTTTTTTCTGAGTGTTCGATCTTTGTATTAATAATTATAACAAACTAGTGGAGTAATTTTACAAAAAAGAATTGAATATCAATTCAATAAAAATTTAAAGTAAAAAAAACATGTTTTTATTTTTTAATAATTTTTTGTGGTGGTGGGCGTCACATTTTTTTTATCTTGCCTAAGTGGGCGGTAAACCAAAAAGTTTGGGAACCTGTGATTTAAATCAATACATCAACCGACTATAGCATAGTTTCCCAAAGTAGTCTCTACCGTGGGCGTTGGGGAAGTTGATGCTGTCCAGTGAGTGCGACCGCATTTGAAAAAAAACCTAATTATCTATATAAACTACACTACATATACTATATAACCTTTTTCCTTCTGATTTTTTTGTTTGTTTAATATAAAAATGCGTGTTTTGGGAGCCAAAAAGTTTGGGAACCTATGAACTAAAGCATATAAATAAAATAATTATTTTTCCTTTCAACTTTAATTCGTTTTTCAACTTTATAAACAACACGGAACAACTATCTTTGTTTCTTGGTATATTAAATTAATGTTAAAAGTCTCAAGTCAGTCGATCGTGTTCAAGAACAGAAATTTATGTATTTCTGTTCTATTCAAACCTTCTAGTACACATAACATGACCATACGTTCCGCTTTAACGGGACAGTCCCGCTTTTAAGCTGTCGTGTCTCGCTGTTCCTAAAATGCTTAAAAATGTCCTGTTTTGCGAAACAGGACCGCATGTGACAATAAATTTTAAAATATGGCGCGAAAGCATAGCAGCAAGTAGAAGAAGCCTTGTCGCCCGCTCCTTGTGCGTCCGTATTGCTCGTTGTTTGTGGCGGGAATGAATCGGTGGCGTGGCACCCGTGGAAAGGATTTAAAAACTAAACCTGACATATTAAAGCAAATTGGCTCATTCGTAAAATATATAAAGCCAGCTCACCAGAGTACCCAAAATTAGTTATTTTTTAAAATTTTTGGCTATTAAACAAGTTTACTTCTTTTTTTTTAATCACTGAACATTTCGTAACTATGATAAACATGTGTTTTGTTTTAAGAATAATAGTAAATTTACAGGCGTCCCGCTCTGAAGGGAAAAATAATGGTCACATTACTTGGATGAGAAAAATCCACTATTGTGACTCGATGATTGATGTGCTTTGAAATAAGTATTGTAATGATTAAGAATCTTCCCTTTTGAAAATTTTAAGAACGCATGTCTTCTCAGTTACGGCAAAATATGAGGAGGAGGGACAATATTTTGAGGTTGATTTTTTAAGAGTATTATGTTTTGTTTTCAGTTGGGCGTGCGGAGTAATCATGTTTACATTGTAAGTCTAAGATTTTTCTATTAAGGCATATTCTCACCTGCATCTGTAATGAACATTCGAAATTTGTGATCTCGGAGCGCCATTGGTGACGACATCAATTTTAAATAAAGACATTTATTGGTTACGGCTCTAACAAAGCAAATGCTTGTGGCCATTATTTATTATTCTGTACTATTTTCTTGACAATAATAATAACAATTTGCAAGACAATCATACTAATTATCTGTAGGACTATTCTCTATGCGAGATATTGCTTGTGTTTTTGCGAGAATAACAGTATCTTGCTCTTGATGTCGCTCCCGCGCATATCGCACCCTGTCGTGCTATATACAATCTCAAATGGCTTTGGTTGATTCTGCATAACAGCGAAAGTGTTGAATCAATCACTTTAGAAATAATATATAGTAAAATTGAGGATATGCACTGATTAGTATACGGTGTAAAAAAAAACGATTTCTAAAAATTTTCACCATAGAAAAAACAATATGTACATTAAATGTACCAATGATTTTTATATCAATTAAACTAAATAGAACACGAAGAGTCATTTTTCAAATGGCTTTAATTACATTTAATTCGAGCTGAGGAACAGGGAAATTCATTAAGAGTCAATACTACTCGACTCTTAATGAATTGCCCTGTACGTGTACTGACCTCCTTATCATAAGTAACGTAATTGACATTTTTAGCGAAATTGAGTTATTAACATATCTGGGATCAGCGAACCGAGATCTACCATACCATACCGATCTACAATCCCGTATAAGAGGTTTTATTTATCTTACGGAGTATTGACATTTTTCACTAGCAAAAAAACTAGGTGCCAATATCTCAGAAGTTACCGAAACTCAAATGCATAAGTTATGACAAGGAGGTTAGTGTACAAGTGCAACAAAATTAATACCCGGAACGCACGAAATTCAATTTCAAAAATTTCCCCGAATTTCAAAAACCTTTTCCACACTAGCGTGGAAAAAACGCTTTTGCGCGCAGATTTCTAAAGAGAAAGAAATCCTTTCCGAGCTAGTGAGGTGAAACGGTAATTAATTTTCCACATTCGGTGGAGGTCTGTTTAGCGTCCCATAATGCTAACCGCTGGGCCGCTGGGGTTGCCGAGATTGTCGAATAGAAGTGAAATTTAAATCGAGAAAGCATTTCATGCTTGTATCTCGAATGTTCATTACATAGAATGTGCATTATACAGCGAACCGTGTTGATCGTGTTTTTACTGATCGTCCAATACCTTCCAGACTGGTGGGCTGTCCACCGTTCTGGCACCGCAAGCAGATGGTCATGTTACGCAACATCATGGAAGGGAAGTATTCCTTCACTAGTCCCGAGTGGGCCGACATATCAGGTTAGTCTAGGTCATACGATGACGTAAACAAGGTGTCAAAATTTCGCGCTGATCATTGTATCTCTCAATCTTGGTATAACAAAGCCATATCGCTGCTTTTTAGGAATAGTGGCCCAACCCTAAATATTTCCTTTTTTGACTTATTACTGAGATTTGTTCAGAAAATCCTTCTCCAGTCCCGTGTTCAGTTGGACCTCGAGAGATGACATTAAATTTGGATAGTGTGAATCAGAATTTATTTTCGATAGATGTTGGTAAATTTTGTTGCTCTAAGGAGTGATGAGCTTGTTTCCGAACACTATTCCGATGAAGCAATTTTAGCGAATAGGAGGCGGTAGATCGTTCCAAATCTTCGCTTCTTAAAACTCCCCTGATTGCTGCCATTCTGTGGCACGGGACAATTAACCGACCGAGGCGAGATCGCGACGACCATTTTAAACTTTCGTCAAGTATTACTGTCAAATAAGTAATACACGACCGAATTAAAAAACACATGATGGGAAATGACGCTACATACTTGACATTGTATATAATAGAGCTTTTTAAACCTGACGAAATAGATGTTTTTGAGATAGACCGCTATTCTAGAAAGTCATCGATATGTGATCGTACGTTAAAAATGCTTTTATCACGTGAAAGTCATAAAAATAATACGAACTACATGAAACAAATTATGTACATGTGAAATTTTATGACCCTCCTATTTAAATATGAAAAGTTATCGACTAATTTTGTTCGCACAATATTTAAACCTCGCTCCTGAAAAGTTGTCATTTTGCTGATGTGGCCTTATTAAGGCAAGGGTGCGATTCATTTATATATTGCTTGAATATATTCCAATTCCCAAAGTCCTGAATATTTTTACATTGGAAATTCATATTTTGATCTGTAAAGCGTGAACACATAGAGAGAGAGTGCGGGTCGGGCTCGAGTTGGGTGCGGGTCGGGACCGCAGCGGATTAATTATTTTTTCGCCATTATATAGATTTTGGTGTATTTTCACAAAGCTTACACAATTTTAAGAGATATCGTCAGCGTTTGTAATTAAGATTTTATTTTTGTAATGAACGATTTTAAAATTACTTAATTTTTGACACTTTCGTATAATTTAATATTATTTTGATTATTGCATAATATTATTCATTCATAATTCATCCAGTAATTATATTATTTCACATTATTTTAATCAGCTGTGTGTAATTAAATCATATAACTTTTTTTCTTTGCTTAAGCTGTGTACAATTGTAAGGGGGTAGCAGTCGCAAAGAGTTGTACTGATAATTTTACTTCATGTAAATGTGACTTGTGTATCTGTAAATTCTGTAATTGTACCATATTGAATAAATTAACTAAGTAAGTTGGTGCTAAAACTAAATCACCAGGCGTTCAATGTCTGTCTTTTGATTTTCATACAGTTTTATAAAAAAATCTCATTTAATTTCGAACTTGGTTCAACATTGTAATCAAAATTCAGTGAATTTATTAGTTTTCAGTTTAAACTCCATATGTCGAGCTAGTGATTGTAACCGCAGCCTTAGTCCGACGTGCCAATGTGAACCATTTCCTAAGGAGAGGTCGTAAGGTGGGACGTATAAAGGGTTGTATGATTTGCTCGATAGTTTAGTACTTGAGTTGGTAAACGCTTTTTTAACCGCAATAGATTCGCGATACTGTACCTGTTAGGGTTAGGCGTGTCGTTTACCACCAGGTGCACTTGTTCTTCCCGTCACTTCATTTTTATTTTTTTATTATATGGTACAACAACAGATAATAGACTACAAATAATACTTAGAACTATTACATATATATAACATTATAAATCTGACATCCAATTATAATTGTACACAAGTTCATATGAAAAAAATCCTCCTTCATATTTTCCAGAGGACCCCAAGGAATTAATCCGTCGTTTCCTAATGGTAGACCCGAATGAACGAATAAATCTGGATGAAGCTCTGCAACATCCCTTCTTCAATACAGTGGTGAGTGTACTTCTAAGGTTTATGTGGTAATTTTTAGGGGAAAAAGGGGAAATAATAAACAATTGTTAAAATTCATTTCAATTTGGATGTTATGGAACAGAATCTCTTTGGAAAAGAAAATTTTGCCTCACTTTAAATTGCTTAAAAAAATTCACTTACCACCTAAATTTCTTTGAGATTCCTGTTACAATCAATCTATTAGTTTTAAATTCTTATAAAGCACATTCCTTAACTGTAGACGTTTTGTGAAGAAATAGAAGCAACCAATAGATATTTAAGAAATAAATTTTTCTTCATTAAACCTTTGCGGTTACTTTGTAGAGCTGAACGCGTATTAGTTAATGTCCTTCGCATTGCATTCTTACACTAGCGTTACAATCGCCCCCCTTAATCGGCCACAAGCTCCCACCAGCACGTCTATCAAGCCGTAAGAGCCTCTCCCGATATGCCACTTCCATGGCTCCGTCCCTCGTTCAAGGTTACGCGATAAGTGCGCCGATGTCGACGCAAGCACTCATACAAGTCTTTAATTTACGAGCATTCGGCTCCGCACGACTGCATACGACAGTCAACGTTATTTTCACCTGTTTAAGCTATCTCAACAAAAACTTAACATGCAGCTGTTGCAACCTTACCTATTTGTGCGGCCAAGCAGTAATGTCCGCATTACTGTTTTCTGGTTTTGAAGGGTTAAGGGTGCTGGTGAAATTAACAGGCACATGAGACTTGTCAACTTATGTCTCAGGGTGACGGGCGCAATGGACTGGCGTGTTGCTTACCATCAGGCGCACGACTAGTTCGTCCCAGCACTTGATATTGTAAAAAAATTAGTGAAAAGTGGTGTGTAATATGCATACCGTAACATCGTTAATGACCTTGCAAAATTCCTGACAACGGCACGTCAATTTTACATAAAGAAAGCTAAAACTCTGATTACTTAATGGGCGTATTGCCTAATTCGCGTTCAGCTCCAATCTCACACTTTCAAATTTGTTCTTTTCTGTTCGCTTATATCTCGTACATACACGTATACAGTGTATGGTGCACAGTAGAGCTTATTGCAATGCACTTGTTTTCGTTGTATCGATTTTCGTTCCATCGATTTTCGTTCCCACTTCAATGTAGTATTTTTATCTTTAATTTAAAAAAAATATTATTACGACACTGGAAAGGTAAAACGTCTTGCATGCATTTGCAGTATAGTACAGTACTAATTTTGGTTTCTATATAGAAAAGCTGAAACATTCTAGTTTTCCATTTAATAAATAAAATTAGAGTTATGATCTTATTTTTTTCTTAAAAAGAACTTTAAATCACTCTCTTGTAATATTTTCCGAATGCACGGCAGATATTTTACGTTTCCACTGTCGATTCTTTCCATCGACCAACGGTTGTTTTCTCGAAACTCCTTATCACGGACATTCTTATAGTTTAGTTTACGACTTTCAAAAAGTTGAAAAAAACTTCCATACAAACTGCGGGACGGGATAAATATTTGTATGGACTACACTTATTTATCTTGTGAGATCGGGTGTAATTTATAATTGTCTATGTGTGTGTCCATGGCACTCGCGATACAGGATTTCCCTAGTGCGGCGCTGTGTATGTGCTTTATTATTATTAAGCTTCATGAATTCAGTATGGTAATTCACAAATAAAAAATAAGTAATTAAAAGAAAGTCATGTTAATTTCGGGTTAGTTAAAAGTAACTTTACAAGGGTTTTTTACTTTTTTGTTTTCATGCAATTTCTTATTTTGTGGTCATTCTGGTTTTATAATTTTGAGACATTTAAAATGTTAATTTAATAAATGTAGTTGTAATAACGGTCCATAAAAGAAACTTAGCGCTACGTCTATAATCCGTGTATCATAAAAATTCACGTTGAACTGGGAACTCTTATGAACTCGACCTTCTTACAACACTGTACTCCTGGTAGCTCTGGGACCAAGACATGACCCCGTTGAAGAAGTCGCTGTCCAGTGCCAGTCGCCGGATGTCCCGCATCGAAGAACTCGCCATGGTAAGACCTGTGTGACACTTACGCTGTTATGCGATTATGACACTTACAAACACAGAGATACGTTTACAATTCGTTTATTGTAGTTACACGGAGTTATTTAGGATATCCTTCCTTGACGTGATTTTTGCAATATTTAACACGCGTTAACTAACAGTGAGGCTGCAATCCATCCATCGAAAACCCTCTCCTTAGAGAAGACACGTGCCTAGCAGTGGGACGTGTAATTAGTCGTCAATTACCTGCTATTATGGTGGATAATAAACTTTAGTTACTACATAATTACAACGACAAAGAACATAGATGTATCCAACCGAAATATTATTCAAAAATAACTTCCTACAATGACATAATATCGCAAATCATTAAACTACAAAACAATTTGTAATGAACAACTAGCAAGCTTGTTACAAAATTTACAAACAAACATGATCCTACTATTTCAAGATGTTACTTTCATAGTGTCACCATTTATTTGTAAGTCAATGGTGCTATCTTGTAAACTTTTAATTAGAAGTCATTAACACCATCCGAGCCGTGATTGACAAACGTTTTTCTATCCCGCTCACACTTGTACGTTGGTAATTTTTATAACATAATAATAGATGTCTCGATGTGAAATGCATTCAATTTTGAAGCATATAGGCTCAATTAACATTGTCTAAATTTTTGTAACGAAAACTTTAAAAGATTGCGGAAATTGCCGAGAGTACACGAGGATCTCCGGAAGATGCGCAACCTGTTTTATTTGTTTAGGAAATTTTTCTATTTCAGTGAAATAGACAGGTGCTTAGTGTGCGATATTTTTTATTTGTAATAAGTTCAATTTTCCTAAAATTTGTAAAGTAAAAATAAACAAAATTACCCTTCCTCACCATGAGTAATCCTTACCATGAGTAACGTAATTGAAATTTTTAGCGAAAAGTAAGTTAAAATTAACATACGATACCTCTGACGTAAGTTATTGCAATTCAAAAATACAATTTTTTACTTTTTAAGTCAAATATCTTAGAATAATAACGCATCGAATGATAGTTTTATATCAAACGAACTGTCACAAGTGAGGCAAAAATCAAATTCATGTAGGCTAGTTTTAGTAGTAGGTTCATTTTCGGTTTTAGTGAATATGTATATAAAAATACAAGTTGAAACGCGTTACTTCCTTGTGGAATGTGATGTTAGTATCTATTTTATGTTTGTCTGACGTATTTTTACACTCATTTACCGCACATTTCATCATTTTTAGCTAAAATTCTTGAGCTGTTCGCGATGCAAGTTGACCTTAAGCACTGACGGCCCGCCCGCTCGTGTAGGCCCTTTGGGAGCGCTTCAATTTGCCTCACTTAGCGTGTGCAAACTAAGTTTCTATGCATTATTATTCTAAGTCAAATATATACTTTTTTATTCATGTTATAGGTTTAAAAGTAAAGAAATCACTTAGTGTTATTTTTAGTATATTATAAGTGATATACATTAGAAAAAGAATTTATTTAAGTTAAACAGCAAAAAGTGGTATTTTGATTTACAACAACCTACATGGGAGGTATCGTCTGGAATCAGCGAAACGATATCTACAACCACCTACAATCGGTTTCTTTATATCTTATTTACTTTCAATTTACGCTGATTTTGCTTAACAATTTAATAAGGAATTGACATTTTCAGAGAAAAATAACTTAGGCGCTACCATTTCGAAAGTTACCAAAATCCAAATGCGTTACTTATAACAAAGAGGGCAGTGTGATGGGCTTAGGAATTCGCTACAGGCAGGATTACATTGTCGGAATAACTTAGTAGTTTTGTTCAAAATTAGTGGACTTGAAATGTTATGAGAAGATCTACGTTGGATAAATTAATTAATATAAAAACGTTTTAGTTTTGTTTAATCGGTTTTAATTGTTTTTTTTTTACTCTTCTAATCTAACTAAACTCACACTATGATGCTTATTTTGCTTAGTAGTTTTTGCACATTTTCTTGCATGATTGAACGATAATTAAGTTTTAATTGCATTTATTACTAATAATATCATTAGCATAGAATTTAATTATAAAATTAATTTTAACGCTTATCTGCATTATGTTTAAAATTATAAGAAAACAAAACTTAACCAAGAATTTCGTGTAATATTGATTAAAATTAATTTAAGAGCAAGTGTGCTGGTGAAATAACAGGCACATGGGACTTGTCAACATATGTCTCATCATCATCAGGTATCATCACAATATTATTTTTTTTATAACGTGACGGGACGAACAAATCGTGCGCTTGGTGGTCAGCAAAACGTTTGTCCATAACAGGTGCAGAGATGCTCAGTGCTTTAGATCGCATAGATCTCAGGGCACTGCCATCGAGCCAGTCATCCTGAAATAAGTTAAAAAGTTCTATGTGCCTGTAGGTTAACTAGCGCCCTTACTGCAGCCACAGAAATACACTCCTGGACACAACTTTCGAGCCACCTTGAATTTTTATTTTGAAAGACAAAAAAAAAAAAATATTGTTTTATTAAAGAAAAAGATTTTATGCAGTTTTAATGCTGGCAGGTTCCCCGTTATTATGGTGTGTTGTTGTTCCAAATTTGAATTTACGAATTTGAAAAACGGAGAAAAGTTTTTAAAGAAATAAGGGAGTGTAAGGTGCAAGTCAAAACGAAATAATTTCAATATTTTTTTATTTAATTGTTTTATTTAACAACAAAGGAGTACTACATTGTTTTTCCTCTAAATTTAACCAAATTTCTCGAAGGAATTAGGAACACTGCGCCTGAAGTAGGTTAGTGGAGCCAGGTACTCTTCGCTGATGAAACTAAGATTATTGCTTATGGTAATGATGGAAGAAACAAGGTCTACCGAAGACAAGGAGAGCGTTTTGTGCAGTGTTGCTTTGAAGAGAAAGTGAGCTGTGGCGGGGGTTCATGGACAGTCTGGGCTTGAGGTTGCGACGTGGCCGCGTCTGCCACCATTAAATGCCGACAGATACATTCGCCATTGCCTCGAAATTCATGTAATGCCATATGCTGGCTTTGTAGGCCAAGTTTTTATTCTCATGCATGACGACGCAAGAGCGCATACTGCAAGAGTCGTCACGGAATACCGTCATGACGTCGGTATTACTACCATGCAATGGCCAGTACGAAGCTCGGATATGAACCCAATAGAACATTTATGAGACGAGCTAAAAAGGTGTGGTCGAGTTCACCACCCAGCCCCGCTACCTTACCGGAGTTGAAAGTTGCCATTGAGGAAGAATGGGAGAACATTGCACAGCACTTCATATTGAAGTTAATTAATTCTATGCCAAATCGCATGGCGGCCGTTGTCAACGCTGTTGGAGGCAATACAAGTTACTGAATAGACAATTTTTTCCGATAAGGCAGTTTTCTTTAAAATTTCTTTACTAGAATTTCATTTCACAAAGATGAATTCAAGACTTGTGACACTTAAACTTCGTTTTTCCCTGGTTTCACAAAATCAAATTTTCGACACGGACATACGGAAATGACGTTTAGTAAACCAGGTTCGAAATTGCATTAATAGTTTTTGATCAATCAAACATATTTTTAAGCTTATGGCATTTAATACTAAAAATGCAAGGTGGCTCGAAATATGTGTGTAGATACGGTAGCAGTACTTCTAAGACGAACGTTTTCTTAAGGAACCCTACTACTATTAAATCTATATAACCGCTTATTTCCCTTGGTAATTGTGTTTTAATACAATTGTTATAAACTCTAGGCAATCAAATCAGGCGGATTCAACGCACGCGCGAAGCTCCGCCTCGGCTTCATCGCCGTCCGAGCTGCGGTGCGTCTGCGCCGTTTGCCGCAAACAGCCACGCGCGCTATACCACTGTATCTCGCTCTGCAGGATCCTTATGCCCTGCGTGCGCTTAGAAAGGTAGTACTATATTATTATATCTAATTAAGATGCTAATAGAGAATATTTGAATGAAATATTTTTCATCCAATTTGCTCGTAAGTAGTTTTTAAACCAGCAGCTAGTCTAGACGGTATTGTCTTCGTACAGCCTTATGTTATGGTTTGGTTGGTGATGGTTTTTTTAAATTTAATTTTCCATTTTTTTTGAACGTCGTCGGAAGTGTGATGAAATACATTGTGTGCCGTACAGGCAACTGCAATTACAAACGTTCGGGCCAACGTCTTATTAATAAAAATTACAATGACAGTCATAGAAGAAAAAATATGAATTTATATTTTTATAGTTGTTTTGTACAGAGTTGTTCCTTAGATAGGTCAAATAATTTTTAAGGCAAGAACAAGGTAACAAGCCTTGTAACTTTTATTTTCCTTATTAGTAATGTTGTTGTTTCTGTAGTTGCAATAAAGATTTTTTTAAATGGAACAATCAAATTACATCCTTATTTTATTATTGTTTTATCTATGTCTCTCTCTATAAGAAACGATTGCGGTTTCAGAATGTCCCTGTTAACAAAAACGGTTGAAAAACAAAACGAAAAATCGCTCATTCTCTAAAAAAACTGTCATAACAGATAACACAGAAAAAGCTGTTTTGAAAAAAGAAATCAATTTGACATTCGTGAGGCTGCTGTGACTTCAATACTTACACGTTTTTCGTGCTCGTATGGTTTTGTTTATTGTGAAAGATGTTAAATTTTGTGAGGAGTATTGACTATATTATTCAATCTTTAAGCAGTCAGACTTTTCTGTGCTATGACAGTTTTGTAGAGAATGAGCGAAATACTATTCAACTGCCATTGTATATTTTTTTATATTGGCCATGGCAATGGTGAGTGGAAGGCGCAGTCTACTAATTATGTGACATAAAACATACATTTAATTTGAAAGCTAAATTGCTGATTAACCGAGTTAAAAACTACGATATGCATAGTGATTTCCATTATAGTTTTAGTAAGGAAACATCGATCGTTAGTGTTGAGTGAATGAATGCCATCACTGACATTCTATTGTGACTTGAATGCGATTGCATTGACTATATTTTAGCAGAATGATAAATCTTATCATAATTGCAATATGATCTCAGTGGAGTCTCAAGAATTACAATGACGAGTGGTTTCAAGAAAATTAGTAGACGTGGTATTCTAATGATGACTTTATAGCGACGATTTTGACGTCTTTGGTGACCTAACGGTTTACATTGGGGCCCTGGATGCGGAGGTCCCTGGTATTTCCGCTTATTCAATTGGTCCTCAATTTGGGAATGAAACTTTTCTAAATTGGTTCTGGTCTAGGTGTTTGGGAAGTACCAGAGTGGATTCCGTTGTTCTGGTACTTATAGCTCATAGTACAAGGAATTCCCTAGTTTAAGACCAGGTAATTGGTGTGATTCTCTGGATTATAGCCAATGCTCATAAAAAAAAACACAAAAAGCGCAAAAAAATAATTGAATATTAATTCAATACAAATTTAAAATATCGTTAATAGCGACATCTCTAGCCAGGGCAGGTAGCTGTAAAGTTACCTAACTGGGTGACAAAATACTTTCATAGATTTCCATAGATGGCGCTACGGCTAAAAAGTCGTTGAAAGGTCCGCTGGTTCCTTCCGTGGCTTAGTTGGCATAGCGTCTGCCACGGTTTGCTAGAAGACGTCGGTTCGAATCCGACCGAATCGAAGGATTTTTTCTAATGCGAACATTAGTTAGTTTAGTTTATAGTTAGTTAGTTAGTTTATAATTACTAATACAAATCTTTGTATTAGTAATTATAACAAACTAGTAGAGTAATTTCACGAAAAATAATTGAATATCAATTCAATACAAATTAAAAAAAACAATTCCAGGTAATCGACGGCTGTGCGTTCCGCGTCTACGGACATTGGGTAAAGAAAGGCGAAGGACAGAATCGAGCCGCGCTCTTCGAGAATACGCCTAAAACAGAATTGAAGAGTTTATACGTCAGCAATCTTAGTCGATAGCTAATGTTCTGAACGGAGTTAGAATACCTCCTTATTGTTTATTAATTCCTGGTACATTGGTAAGTTTTCCTTTTTCATTATTCCCTGGTAAAACACAATTTCTGAAGTACTTGCTATGACAAAATTGAAAATATTCCAAAACTTCCAATACTTTCTATAAAATCGCAATTACTTAACAAATAATCGTATTAAATGTTATGACACAACACCTTAAAATAATTCTGCTATTTTCAATGTGGTTGCTGAAACAGAAAAAAAAGCAAATAATAGAACTAATAAATCACTCATAATTGTTTCCTCTTAAATACTTCAATTAGTCACTAACCTATGCGCCACTTCAATACTTAGTAATTAATTTATATGTAACTTTGTTAATTAATTTAACTTAGTTACTAACTTGTATACCTCTTCATTATTTAATTTATCTTAGTCACTAACTAACATGTGGTGTAAATCAGTTTAAAATTTAACGAAACTTAGTCACTAAATAACACCAGTTATGTAATTAATTTAACTTAGTCACCAACTTATATACAATCAAATATTTAACAGATGTTCGTCAAAATTGTCACAAAGATCTTTTGCTGTTGACAAAGGACAATATGTGATATAATAAATCGCACGAAATCATACCGTCACTAAACGAAATTTAAAATTTTTCAAGTTTAGACTTAATATCAGAAACTTTAATGCCCATTTTGTCGCAGTAAAGCTCCTTGAGAAAGAGTTCGTCCAGGGAAGTACTGCCACCGTACTATTTCTGCCGCCAAGCAGTAATATGTAAGGGCGCTGGTGAAATTACCGGGAAACATTGGACTTTTCAACTTATGTCTCAGGGTGACGGGTGCAGTGCCAGTACCACTCTAATCTTTGCGATTTAAAACTCTGAGCGACACTGCAACTGTTATGAACCAACGGGTCGCTTACCACCAGGCGCACGACTTCTTCGTCCTGTCACTTGGCATCATAAAAAAACATTTCCCAAAGTTGTCTTTTTCGTTTAGACACGGTATCAATTTCAACGTGCGATATGATATCGTATCGGGCTGATGTCCACAACTCGACGTCTAGGCGACTATTTTTCATGTATGATACATATCGCACTGTTAATACAATAGTGTATTAACTCAAAAAGTGTTATTTTCTCAGAATCGACGAAAAACTAATTAGTTGCTTCCCGTAAAGATCTGTGTAAATTTATGTATTTATTATATTTACGTTATTACCTACTTGCCAAATATACATATTTAAAAATAAAAGAGAAAAAATAGTTTCATAGTTTTGAATAAGGACAATTTTGGCCAGAACTAGTTTACATAAAGCGTATCTCATTTTGAGTTAAGTCGATATCTTTTAGTTGTTTTCTACATTATTATTTTATGGACGTGTAGAGAAACAATTTTACTTTAAACAATGGTATAATTTTGAATTTCACATATTTTGAGTTATAACACTATTGTAATAGCAGTTCGATGTCATAATATACATATAATTCACAAGTTTTTCTCATATGTCATTTTCAGAAGCAAGACTCAACAACCAGGGTAGAGCGTGTATTGTATTCACCAGTCCACCGAACGCGAATTCGTAGGTTAGTTGTAGATGATCTTATTGTTCGAAGAGTCTTTTGTATAAGTGGTTAATCTGAAGTGTTTTTTGTTAATCGTTACATTTGAATTTAACCCATTCCACAATAGATGTCCGTACGTTATTTTCACTTATTTGCATATGCTTCGGACAAAATTTATACTTTTAATCTCTCTATAGAAAAACCTATTATGAAAAAGGCTTTAAGCCTCGTATCTGAAGTCTTGAGTACATAAAAAGAAAGTCACAAATGGTTTTGGGGAAAATTTTAGATATAAAAAACACTTTACCAATCACCATTACCCAAAGACGAAAACGTAGCTGAATTTATTGTTCGTATTATTCTACTGCTAATAATTATACATTGCAATAATGTATCGTGTTTTCGGATATTGCAATTAGTACAAAATTGTAATTATGTGGCAATGTTTTTAGCGATAATTTTTGATCTTGAAAAGAGTGAGAAGTTTTTAAAAAACAAAGCGGTACTGTAGGTACCTGTAATTATGAGCACAGGAATGAAGCTAAGTGATACTATCGGAAATCGAACCTGTGTCCTAACGCAGTTACATGCACTACAAGATCGTTGAGTCAAAATTTAAGATTTTTTTTTATATATTCCGATTTTGGTCAAAGCGTAGAAGCTGTAAACGAATCCCTTTGCATATACACTGCAAGAAGTTTTATTTCGAACGTAATGGCATTTTATGTAAAGTTCAAAAATCGTTTCGCAAATCATGTATGGGTGCTATAGAGATAGCTGTTCAGTATCATGAGTAGTCTCCCTAAAAAAATTTACTCGTAAATTTATTTCTACGGGCTGTAAAATTAAAATCTTTGACTTCTTTCTCAGTCAGCTCTTTTCCAGATATGTACAAAAAATTGTATAGAGTCGTGATTAAAGATTATATTACCTAGTAGCTAGTTATTGTTTTTCTCACTAAATTAAGTCCAACAATGTAGTAATAGTGTTAATTTAGTATTATTTTCTATCTTACCGTGTGTAAAAGGTGATAGAGGTCGCACGACTGTTGCCTGAACACTTCTAGTAATTTAAAAAGAACCCTAAGTATACTTTAAATAAAAGTAATATTCGCATCTATTCTCGAATAAAAAGCTGTACTTTCTAACCTTAAAATAATTGGAACTGGGTTGTTTTTAATTTTTTCTATTTTCTCGTCGTCATCGGGTTTTGTTCAGTAGCCCTTTGCCTTTGGTACAGACCGGACGCTTTCAGTCGACTTGGAAGTATATAGAGTTGCTATTACATTTTTTATTTATTATACAATAAGAGGAAAGCCCCATATAATTCACATGGAAGTCAAAACAACAATAAAGTACGTTGTTCAAAATTCAAATTATTATAGATTTCAAATCTAATAATTAATAGGCATGGAAGTTAATATTCCTGTGCATTCGGAAATCCGATGATTGCCAAGAGACGTTGAGAAAATAGAAGCATTGTAAACATTTGAAAGCTTATGTCATTATGATGACAAGAGCTTTGAAACATTAAGCTGGTCTAATTGAAGCTTCAATTCGAACAAACTAAAGTAGACTAAATTTATCAAAGGGGCAGAAGATTTTTTTTTTAGTTTAAAGTTGCCAAATTAGTAGCACTCCAGAAACTTAGACGGTGCATATTTATATCGCGATTAAACTAAATGAACTTAAATCTGCCTTGGTTAGACCGAATCGACGCCGGTATTAGAGCGGCTCAATGGTTCTGCGTCAAGTATGAGCTTTTAAAGTGTTTCAAAAACTTTTATTGAAAATCGACCTTACCTCCAATTCTTTAAAGGTGCTACTTTTGATTGTAACTGAAATTACTGAAAAACACCGGTGATTTTTTTTATAAAGTTGTTCAATATGTTTCAATAATTTAAAAAGAATTTTCGTATCTGCAACGTTTGTGCGTTTTCAATCGGATATTCTTATAGACAACAACTAAAATAAAAATGATTACTTATACAGGGTAAAAGCAAAATAATATTTTGTTGTTATCGTCAAATATTTACAAAAATAAAGTGTGTGTCGATCCAACTGTAAAATGACCTTTTTTCGAAATTTTAAGTAAGTAATTCAATGTCTATGTACCAAAAGTACATGATAGATTGTATAAGAATCCTTTACCAAACCGTCACAAATAAATACATACACACTCAATAGCTCCGTACTAGGGAAAGCCTGTAACGTAGGTGCCATGGACACAAACATAACTAACCACAAATTCCACCCGAACTCACGAGATAAATAAATGTAGACCATACAAATCTTTCGGAGGCAGTTGTTAAACGATGGGTCCATTTAGATATTTTTTTTAGTTGACACACTTGTCCATTATATCATTTGAAGTATACAAAATTAGGCCACCATTTTTTTGTCACGCAACCTGTAATCACCTGGTTGTATTACGGATAGGAATTGAAATAAGCTTATAGAAGCTTACCTATTTATAATTTGTTGCAAAGTTATGGAGAAGAAACAATGTGGTTAGAGATCACAGTTTATCTTCATACAGGCTGTAACTTAAATGTCGTACCATATTTTGAATGGTGTTGATGATTTGGTGGTGATCGTACTGATGACAGAAATACCGAGATTAAATTTAGTCTGCATTCGCCCGAATCGTCGCCAGTATAAAATGATATGGTTCAGCGTCAAATATGAAGTTTTAAAGATGTCCCTAAATATATCTATTTTTTACGCGTTACTTTTCATTGAAGGAAAAAAAATAAAAGCATATCTTACTGTTGACAACAAATTTTTTTTTCCTTTGAAAATGTGTAACATCGTACGTATCTTCCTTTAGGCATACTATAAAGCTCCTCGTATTTTCGATACAGAACTACACACATACAGATATTCTGGAATATCTTCTTACCTTCTTATTTGTGTTTATTAATGACAATGTGATAATCAGCGGTGTACAGAAAAATAGACCATAGGTTTATGCGGCACCGTTTATGTATGTACACTTATTAGAAGCGATATATTATGTTATAAAATAAAAAACTCACCTTGAGCCGTAGCTAGTATTAATGTAGTTCTAATAATGAATCATATTCTTGTATAATTAATGCTCTCAGTACTGAGTACTGAAAAACCGACCTCCAAAGTCATTCATCCATAGTTTGCCACCCTTAGAGATGGAATATTTTCTTTAAATTTAAATGGGCCCACTTCTGCGGTATCCTCTTTCCAACACAAAAAAAAAACATCAAAATCGGTTCAAAAATTTGCCGGAGTTATCGCGTAACATACATAAAAAAACATACAGTCGCATTGAGAACCTATTGCTTTTTTTGAAGTCGGTTAAAAATAGGGCGATTTACAGCTAAAGGCATCATAACAACGAAAGGGACGACTTGTATGTGCAATTATTAGTTTTGCAAATTATAATTTACTACAGGTTACTTTTGGTACATTTAATATTGGGTGGTTCACATCTGTTTTATTTGAGCCAACAAGTAGTGCCGTGAAGTATTTATAATATCAACCTGGCCAGGTTCGCCTTCAGCGATTGTTTAGAATGAGTGCTACGGTTGTTCGCTCTTTCATGTGATGGCTACAGTAGCCAATCTTATTGGTAAACGATAACAAACAGTGGCTACATGTTATCGACGAAGTAGTAAAAGATGGCTGCAGGTGTTTTAGCCTTTAGAGCATCACGTTTCGCCTCCAGGTCTGACAGCTTTTGCTCTTCAAATATATTATATAATCGAGTTCTCAAGTGTACATTACACGGCTGGCCGTGACCATGGGACCTGTAAAAGGACCCGACACGTTGCTTTGTTTGAAAAAACAGATGCGCGATTCAAAGCCGAAAAAATAGTTTAATTTCTCTTGTACATATTCGGTTATATAGTATTTTGATTTATATGTTTGGACTCTATTTTTTTTATATATTGTTTATTAATGGGGTTCAATAATGACAAAATTCCCTAAATAAATAACGATAAAAAAATATTTCTCTGTTATCGTTCCTCAATAACTTAGTGAAATATGAGTCAGATATTTTTATTACAGCCTGTATAACGTACAATTAGTATTTTTAATTAATAATCATCATAGAATGGTGCCTTTAATGCAATTTTTAAAAATCAATTTTACAAACAGTGACATAGTTTTAAATGTGTAAGTAACACAAGTTATCATTTCAATTTATTATATGGTGCAAAAAAGTTTGACAACTTAATTTTTGACCGTTGCAATTTTTGCGAGATTTTCGAGAACTAATTCCTTCTACAGCGAACGCGAAGATTGGTGTGACAAGTCGATACTAGCGCCACCGCTTCAAGGTCAAAAACGTAATTTGTCAAGTTTTATTTCGAATTTGTATTAACTGTACGCCATCTTTAATTTGTTGCTTTAAAGAGAAATTTAAAATGTGAATTGTGTGGCGCTATCTGAAAATGAAAAACACCTTAAATTGCTTTTTAATATTTTTATTAGAAATCACAAATACATATAAATGGACAACGTTTCTATTATATCAATCATGTAAAAATAAAAATACTATTCGCAAAGCAAGAAGGCTATGACAAAAAAAAGAATTATTAAAGAACATTGATATTTGCGACAAATCAGCCTTGTATGTTTTTTTAATCTTTGATTTTATTACATTGTAAATAAAGGGTATAACACCAATTTTAGTGTTTTTTAATTACTAAATTTAAAATTTTAGATAACTACGCTTAGATTTACAGCGCTTTTTTGGTGTTATTTCGTAAACATAAAAGTTTTAGTTGTAATCAGTTGTTGTCAACATAATGATAATTCTTCGTCATAGATTGATTTGTCACGTTTTTTATATAAATGTTTACAGTCATTGCATGATATTATTTATTAAGATTCAGAGTTCTTTATTTGTATACTAAAACATATCATCACTTACAAGAAAATTACCTGTGATACCATTTGGTAATGCGGTCGAGTTAGTATATATATAAAAAAAATCTTGATATAGAATCAAAAAGTCAAATTCCTTGTCAAAGCGTGGTTGCACTAGTCGGGAGTCCAAGCTTCAATCGAAACAGGCGAATTATTCTATGAACCTGTAACATGATAAAAAACGTTTGTTTTAATAATATGATGCCATTTTGTTTTACAATTGATGATATAGACTTTGTGTAAAAAGATTTAAGGAAGAAGGGTGTAAAAACAAACTACAAAGTGTAAAAATGTAAAACGAAAATGGTTTGGTTAATTTTTTTGCTAATGTTATATAGTATAGTTTTCAGATAATAATATTATAGTTTCTTACTCGTTCTTCTCAGGCGTATTTGAGGCTATCCGCGTAAAAGTGGTGTAACCTCATGAAATGCATTATACCGATTTCAAATTAGCCAACTTCATTATATAATTGTTGAGTAATCACATAACCAATTTTTTCATGAATCACATGACCAATTTTTTCATGAATCACATAACCAATTTTTTCATGAATCACATGACCAATTTTTTCCATGAAAATGATATTTACTACGACAACAGTAGAGCAAATTTGCGTTATTTTTTATTTTTAAAATTTGAATGAAAATTTATAATGAAACCTTTTGAGAAACAAACGGTAGCCTTTT